TCTCCCTCCCTCTCTCCAAAACAGACGACTACGAAGCTGTAGGAGTGCCCAACTGTGCAAAAGAGTGAGTGAATAGTTGAACAAACAGATTTTGGAGAGGTGAGGAGTGTAGGAGATGTATTGGAGATAAGGCAGAGAGTTAAAACATAGGTAGTAAGTTAATTAGTCACATAACTAAGGGATAGACATTGGGGTGAGATTTTCTGGGGTCGAATCCTGTTTTCATCACTCATTAGCTGGGTGACTGGACAATTTACTTAATCTCTTTGGCTTCAGTTTCCTCAACTGTAAAATGGGGATAATAATATGCATTTCATAGGGTTGTTAAGAAGATTAAATGAGGCCATATTTATAAAATGCTTAGAACGAGGGCCTGGATGTTAATCTAAGGGTTTGACATATGCTATTTACCATGGATATGATGAGTGAGGCTTAGAATTAATGTTTAGAAAAATATAAAATGTGGTTACTAATTTCTCTGCTCTGGATTTACTTGCTGATATTGCATAAATTTTATTTTCAAACATTAGCAAATTTTTCTTTTTGCATAATCTGAATTTATATAAAAAATAATGATTAATTCTCGTGTGATAGATGTTATGTCTAACTTTTTAAGAATTATAGGGGGGGCATCTGGGTGGCTTGGTCGGTTAAGTGGCTGCCTTCAGCTCAGGTCATGATCCCGGGGTCCTGGGATCGAGCCCCATGTCAGGAACCCTGCTCAGCGGGGAGTCTCCTTCTCCCTTTAACCTTGCCTGCCACTCTGCCTATTTGTGCTCTCTCTCTGTCAAATAAATAAATAAAATCTTTAAAAAAAAAAGAATTATAGGAGTGACATAGAATCAACTGTATATTGGAAGTGAAAAATTTCAAGGTAAATATCAGTGTAATAGTAGAATGTAAAAAATACAAATAACAATTCGTGAGGCTCTTTTAAGTTATTTGTCAGTACATTTAATGATTATGCATGGAAGAAGATCCGGGATTTCAGAAGAGCTTGAAGCATCAGAGCTTGAATCAGTAAAGATTGCAGAGAGGGGAATTAGAGAATGGGGTAATAGGGTATGGCCAAGAGAGCAGCCATTTTATGCAATCGTGCATTGAATTATCATGCTTCAATTATAGTGGTAATTCATTAGCCTTAAATCTCTCACCATTGTGCCATGAAGGCAGGGCGGAAGTAAAATAAAGACTGGAATGTTGTGGAGTTTGAGGTCCTTGAAATTCTTCACATTGCTAGGCATTGGTCTTTCACCTCTGTGAAATTGTTACATGAGTACTTCCATAGCAGGAGGACAGGGTCGATTGAGGGATTTGGGACTAAGTGTTTAGTAGTATGATTGTGTGTGAGAGTGTGTGTGTAGGGTAAATCAAGCCATGTGTCTAAGCCAGAGAGCTCACAGAAAGTAAAAATGATAAGGCAAGTAGATATTGGCTCATTTTTGCAAAAATACACATCTGGAAAATTCATCTAAGAAAGGAGAGGCAAGCAGGTACTTGTGTTCTAGGCTGTCAGCACTCAAATCTAGGAGGTGAAAGGATAGGCAATGGAGAACAAAGAGTCAGTGGCAAAAGGCCATTCTTTAATGTGCAGTAAGTATTCAAGATCCGTGCAAAGCTTCTACATGATGGACAAGAGAGCAGCATCTTCTTACCTGGTTTCAATTGTGGCTAAGGATGAATCTGACATTGGGGACATCTGACTGGAAAAAGTTTACTTCAAAAGCATTAATAGGTAGATAAATCAGTTTTTGAGCAAATCAACAGTGCAAATTTGGGGGCATTATATCTTAAAGCAGCTCTAACTTATTAAAGCTTACTAAGCCTTTTGTTTTGGCTACCACAACATTAACCAGCATAAGGTAGGTCTTTTTGTCTCTCATGTGCACTGATTCTTTTTTTAAAATTTTGATTCCAATATATTTGACATACAGTGTTATATTAGTTTCAGGTATACAGTATAGTGACTCAACAATTCTGTACATTACTCAGTCCTCGTCATGATAAGTGTACTCTTTAATTCCCGTCACCTATTTTGCTGGTCATCCTCACCCACCTCCCCTTTGGTAGCCATCAGTTTGTTCTTTATAGTTAAGAGTCTCTTTCTTGGTTTGTCTCTCTCTCTCTCTCTCTCTCTCTCTTTTTTCCCTTTTGTTCATTTGTTTTGTTTCTTAAATTTCACATATGAGTGAGATTTGTCTTTCTCTAACTGACTTATTTTGCTTAGCATTATACTATCTAGCTCTGTCCATGTTGTTGCAAATGGCAAGATTTCATTCTTTTTTATGGTGGAATAATATTCCATTGCTTATATATGGACACTTGGGCTGCTTTACAATGTCTTAGCTATTGTAAATAATGCTGCAAAAAACATAGGGGTGCATGTATCACTTTGAATTAGTGTTTTCGTATTCTTTGGGTAAACACCCAGTAGTGCGATTACTGGATCGTAGGGTAGTTCTATTTTTAACTTTTTGAGGAACCTCCATACTGTTTTCCACAGTGGCTAGCCAGTTTGCATTACCACCAACAGTGCATGAGAGGCTTCCTATTTCTCCACAGCCTCACCAACGCTTGTTTCTTGTGTTGTTGATTTTAGCCATTCTGACAGGCATGAGGTGATGTCTCATAGTAGTTTTTTTTTTTTAATTGTAGTTTTGATTTGCATTTCCCTGATGATGAGTGATGTTGAGCATCTTTCATGTGTCTGTCGGCGATGTGTCTTCTTTGGAGAAGTATCTGTTCATGTCTTCTGCCCATTTTTAAATTGGACTATTTGTTTTTTTGGTGTTGAGTTGTATCAATTCTTTATATATTTTGGGTACTAACCTTTTATTGGATATGTAATTTGCAAATATCTTCTCCCATTTGGTAGGTTGCCTTTTAGCTTTGTTGACTGTTTCTTCAACTATGCGAAGCTTTTTATTTTGATAGTCCTCATGTGCACTGATTCTTAAGTGGCAGTATTGAAGAGGAGTTGGAAGACTGAGGGAGTAAAAGGTTTGGGTTTCTGGTTAAGCTACACCTTTCTCTTGATCCTGTCTTACTCTTCTGCTCTGCTTTTGGGTTCCTGCACCAAGGGGCACAGCTCAGGAGAATCTGGGGCCTTTAGATTTTTCAAGGAGGTGCATTTACTAGAGGAGCACATTCTTCTCTTATTATATTGACTTTCATGGCATATCGTTGGCTTGCAAACTCTTGGTCCCTTTAATGTTTTTCCAAGCACTGGCTTTCCATAAGAGGTAAGGGTGAGAGTTGAGAGGTCAGGGGTCCACTCCCCTAACCTTTGGATGGAGGAGGTAAAGGAATGGGGAAGAAAGGCTCATCCTCCCAAAGTTACTTTGAGAATTCTATGTGTTTCGACACCATTCTGTTGACTCTTAAACCGTTAATTGTAGATGTTATTTTATTTTATTTTTTTAAAGATTTTATTTATTTATTTGAGAGAGAGAATGAGTGAGAGAGAGAGAGAGAGAGCATGAGCAGGGAGAGAAGCAGACTTCTCATTGAGCAGGAAGCCTGATGTGGGGTTTGATCCCAGGACCCTGGGATCATGACCTGAGCCGAAGGCAGACGCTTAACAACTGAGCCACCCAGGCACCCCTAGAATGCTTTATTTTAAATGACATTTCATCACTGATTTTCTGACACCTGGTGAAATATTAAGCAATGGGGAAGTTGTTTTTGCTATAGTCCACTACTGTTACATAGCATATATCTTCAAGTACTCCATGCCCTCAAGTGCCCGATTTCAGTCTCAATCAAATTGGTTCACAGGAAGGAAAGCTTGAGAAGGGGAAGGGAGGTAGGAATATATATATAGTTTAATGTTTGGCAAGAGGGAAGATGAAACTGCTAACCTAAAAGAAAAAAATGCATGTTGTTTAATATTTATCCCGTTTGCAGTGTTTTCTTCCCTTTCCTGGAGAGTTTTGCCTTGGGGTAGAAAATTTGTAGCGCATGAAGGATTTCTTTCCTCCCAGACATAATCTAAATGCATATGAGCTAGCCACATTAAGGCAGAGTTGTTTTGGGAAGTCTGAATGCCAGATATGTGACAGCAAAATATTGTTTTTTTTTGTAATTTGGCTCCAATGATCATTCTGGCTCTTTAAAGGTGAAAGTAACTGACAATAAGTACTAAATCATGATAGAATAATGTCTGTGTCTTTTTCTGAAACTTATAAATAGGTAACCTTACATGGGAAAAAGGACTTTGCAGATGTGATTAAGGATTTTGAGATGTGGAGATGATCCTGGATTATCCGAGCAGTCCAATGTACTCACAAGGGTCTTTAAAAAAAAATTTTTTTTTTTTTAAGTAGGCTCCATGCCAACATGGGCCTTGAACTCACAACCCTGAGATCAAGACTTGAGCTGAGATCAAAAGTCGATGCTTAACTGACTGACTGAGCCACCCAGGTGCCCCTCACAGCGTCTTTATAAGAAGGAGTTAGGAGGGTTTACAATCCAAAGAGATGTGACAGCGTAACAGAGGTGGGAATGATGCAGCCACAAGCCAAGGAATGCTGGTGGTCCCTAGAACCTGGAAAAGGCAAAGAATGGGTTCTCTGCATGTGTCCAGAAAGAACACAGCCCTCTGACACCTGGCTTTTAGCCCTGTCAGGTCCATTTTGGACTTCTGACCTCTAGAACTGTAAGATAAATTTATGTTGTTTTAAGCCCCTGGGTTTGTGGTAATCAGTTATAGTAAACTAATCCCATGATGATTCTTCTAGAGTTGTAGACCTTATAAGGGAGGATATTTTATTCCAAACTTTATTACTGAGGCTGTGCACCTCTTCTACTTGGAGATGCTTCTAAAAATTACTGTGACTGGGAAATGTAAAGGGATGGGCCAAGGACAGATAAATATCCCATTTTGCTTTGTAATCCAACGTTTAGACAAATCTGTTTATCTTGGGCACATTCAGTGCTTTACTGTAAAGTTGATCTGTGTGCAGCAGAAGTGAGAGAGGGACCAATGAGCTGAAAGAGAACTCAATCAATCTGCTTCCTCCGTCTTTGCTTCAGTGCTTCATACAGGAAATCTATTGCTGTGTCAAGTTCCAGAGAAGAGGTTCTTCTGTTCCAACTTACTAATCAGCCTAAAACACAGAGTGAAAGGAAGAGGCTGGTAGAAAGGGAGTGTCCTGGTGCTGATGGGCTAAGAGGATCCAGCCCAGAGCCTCTAACCAGAGAGAGCCCCACCATGTCCAGAGCTCCTTTCACACCTGTGGGGAGGCAAAGTACCAAGTAAAAGGGCAGAATACGAGAAATCAGAAATGCCCCGCACTTGGAGAACTTCTAAACTATGGCTTCTACTGATTTTGACTGTCTTCTTAGTGCCCGGTAAGTCTTAATTCTCTGTGAGAGAGCGACTGGAGAATGGCCAGAAACGTGGCTCAGCTTTTGCTGAGTTTTCTTTGCCTTTCTTGTGGAGTGAAGCAAGATAATGCAATCATAGAGCTGGGGGGAGGGGGTTACTGTCAGATTTATTTCACTTTATTCTCCTCATTTTGCTCTTCGTCTTACTTATTTTACTTTGTATCCTAAGGTACTATAGATATCTCTATAATTCGCCTCACTGCCCACTTCCTTATTTCACCGTGCCTCCCCCCACTCCGCCCCATGCTTTTCTGACCGAGGCAGAATAAATCAAGTATTTTCTAGTAGGGATCCAAGTCATCTGGGTTTTCTTTGCCCTTCAAAAAAATTAAATAATAATCCCACTGCATTCAGGTCCAAAATGTTCACAGTATAAATTAGGAAACTTCATTGCTTTTAATCGCCGTCTGTAGCCAGGTGCTTTTTAAAATAGAATGCACTCACAGTTTAGTGGTGCATGTGTGAGGTATGTCTATTCATCTTTAAGACATGTAGGCTATAAAAGACACTTTCTGGATGAGAGGACACTGCAACATCTAGGTTCTCGTAGGAGTTGTAGGGCACTGGGGGCTCAAGGGGGGTGTCCTGGTTTCACTACAGAGGTTGGTAGGAGTTGGTGTGGGAGGGAGTTTTCAGGTTTCACTTTTAGTAAATGGGAGCAGCTGCAAGGGAACAGTGTAGTTGGCATTACATTTTATAATTTGATCATTGAAAAAAGAAAAGACTTATAAAATACTGCCCACCTTCCAGCCAAAAATCTGTTTTCCACATGACAGTCTTCCTGGTGAGCACAAGTAAAATAACCAGATTGTATTCCTGTGCCTTTCTATGCAGAATTTTCACATACTTTTTGTCCTTTGATCTGCAAACCAAACCAGTGAAGTAGGCATGGAAGATAGTTTTCCATGTTATGAGGGTAGAAGCTGAGGCCTAGAGAGGTGAACTGATTTGTCCGACACCACTTGTCAATGGCGGAGTCACACCCAGTCAGGTCTGTAAGCATCACCAGGCATTTGAATAGGCTTATGCCTTTACTAAAAAGCACTACTATTTATAACACCACTGAAAAAAATGATGCCCGTGCTTGGTTATAAGCTTAGTGGACTACTTACTCACTTAAGAAAAATCAAGTGATCTAAATATTTCAGTAGTTGAGATCTGATTGTGGAAAGCAAGGATCCAACTTGGCAGGGAAGCCAGCCAGGCAAGAGGCTATTATTCATGTCAAGTAACACTATGATTTTTGGGTAAAGGAAAAAAAAAATCAAGATGGAAATGATAGTCTTCAATTGTAATGGTTTAAAGGTTTGAATTTTAAAACTATTTCTGAATAAAACTAGAAGATACTACATAAATCAAATCTCTGAAAGCTGTGCTTGTATAATTATAAAATTATTGAAATGTTTAGGATCGAGATACAAAAAAGCAAATTATATTACATGCAGAGATTTGCATGATAAATTCACCATGAAATAATTTAGAATGAGAAACAAACTACTTGGGGCATGACTTTTTGTCTTTACTACTAATACTGCTTTGTTACTAATCCTGCCAAACAGAAATAACTCACTTTATTATACAAGATAAATTCACAAAGGTGCCTAAGAACTAATGACTTCAGGGCACCTGGGTGGCTCAGTCGGTTAAGCGTCTGCCTTCGGCTCAGGTCATGATCCCAGGGTCCTGGGTTGGAGCCCCATGTTGGGCTCCCTGCTCATGGGGAGTCTGCTTGTCCCTCTCCCTCTGCCCCTCCTCCTGCTTGTGTTCTCTCTCTCTCAAATAAATAAATAAAAATCTTTAAAAAAAAGAACTACTGACTTCAATGTAAAACATAGCATTTAAAAAATCTATTTACTTTTCTGTTGACTTATTTGCCTATGAATTCAAGCAATGTGGTAGCTGGTAGACAAGGTTTATAAAAAATACTTGAGGGGAAAAATTAAAACAATGTAAGTGGTACACTGTCCAGCAAGGCTCTCCAACTCTATGTCTGGCCCTCTTCCCTCACATTCTCCTTACTCTAGCCTTTAGTATTCTAGATTTTTTCTTGTGTTCAAATTATATTTTGCTATCCTAATCGATTTGATTCTACCTTTTATAAAAGTCACTGATATTAAGATCCTGATTACTAAAAAGGACCACCCTTTTTTCTCCTTTGGCTAATTTTGTTCATTTGTCATTATCTTCCGCTAGAGGGCAGGCAGTAACAAGAAGAGAAAATAAAAATTAAAACAGGGCTGTTGGTAGCTTGAGCAGGTTTGCAAAAGATGGAAAAAAAAAAGATGAAAAACAATTGCAAAAGAGAAGGGGTTTGTTTTCATTAATTTCAGTCCTGTCTTCCTTTTCTAGTTTGAGAGTTAGGAATTCGCATAACGTTTTCCTCTAAACATCTACACTACAGCAATTAATAAAGCAATAAAAAGTATTAAGAACACTGAATTATTTATGGGGTGTGTGTGTGTGTGTGAATAGTGCCTAAAAGTTATTAGCAATAAAAATTAAGGAGATCAAGGTAAGATGAAATAATTGGAGAACATTTTAAATTGGTCAGTCTTGAAATTATCTATGAATCTAGTAAAATCCAAAGATGGGAGATACAGGGGGTTGGAGTTGTTGAAGTCTTAATGGAGGAAATGGATCTTGAATGATAAGTTTGGATAGGTGGGGAAAGGCAAATGTTCAAATTGAAATTGAATGTATTGTATTATTAAATGCCCTTTTGCTTCCAAATTTCATCCATGCATTGAATATTTTGGTGCTTTTCATTTTCTCGGTAAAATCTCAATCTCTGGGCATCTGGGTGGCTCAGATGGTTAAACGTCTGCCTTTGGCTCAGGTCATGATCCCAGGGTCCTGGGATTGAACCCCACATCGGGCTCCCTGCTCAGCAGGGAGCCTGCTTCTTCCTCTCCCTCTGCTGCTCCCCCTGCTTGTGCTCTTTCGCTCTCTCTCTCAAATAAATAAATAAAATCTTTAAAGAAAAATCTCAATCTCCTTTCCCTGAATTTCTAGATTCTTATATAACTCTGTGTTAGGTTTAAAGGTTTGTCATGAGGTATACTTTTTTAAAATTTTATTTTATTACGTTATGTTAATCATCATACATTACATCATTAGTTTTTGATGTAGTGTTCCATGATTCATTGTTTGTGTATAACACCCAGTGCTCTATGCAGAACGTGCCCTCTTTAATACCCATCACCAGGCTAACCCATCCCCCCACCCCCTCCCCTCTAGAACCCTCTGTTTCTCAGAGTCCATAGTCTCTCATGGTTCGTCTCCCCCTCCGATTTCCTTCCCTTCATTTTTCCCTTCCTACTATCTTTTTTTAAATTAACATATAATGTATTATTTGTTTCAGAGGTACAGATCTGTGATTCAACAGTCTTGCACAATTCACAGCGCTCACCATAGCACATGCCCTCCCCAATGTCTATCACCCAGCCACCCCATCCCTCCCACCAACCCCCACTCCAGCAGCCCTCAGTTTGTTTCCTGAGATTAAGAATTCCTCGTGTCAGTTAGATCATATGATAATGTCTTTCTCTGATTGACTTATTTCGCTTGGCATAATACATGAGGTGTACTTTTAACCACTAGCTGTGTCATCTTTAAGAAATTGTTTACCCTCTTTAAGTGATAATTTCCTCATTTGTGAAATGAAGCAGATGTATGACACTTTTGAGAAATACAGAGTTTTCAGACAGGAAGGGCTTTAGAAACCTTCAAATTAAATCCTTTCATTTTATACGTGGGCAAATAAAGCCTAGCGTTGTTCAAGGAATTACTAAAGATATCACCCAACTTTTTAGTAAAAGAACTGAGCCTGAAACTCATCCATAGTGTCAAACATAGAGGGTAAAAGAGATGTGGCAAGTGTGTATGGGAAAATAGAAGATTCCTGTCTAGGAAAAACAAGTCAAAGCTAAAATGTGAGTCAGTTATTCTGTCAGTTAATAAGTCAGGGTGTGTCTGTCATGTGTCAGAAACTGTGCTTCCTGCTGGGGATACTTGAACAAGACAGACATAAATCATGCTCTCACAAAGCTTAGAATCTCAGAAGAGAGGTAAGCATTAAATAAATCATTACACATAAATAATGTGTAAGAAGAAATAGAGGGAGACATAGAAATGTGTAATTGGCAAGTCTAGTCTGGTCTGTGAGGATCAGGGAAGGTCACTTTGGAAGTGATGTTTGAGATGAAGATGAGCAGAAAAGAGCTAGGCCAGGAAGAGTTGAGGGACTCACATTCCAGGCAGGTCAAACAGCTTGTATGAAGGGCAGAGGGAGCTAAACTATGACTGCAGTGGTAAAAAAAAAAAAAAAACAAGGAGAAATCAACTGTATAGAGGTCCAGTTGGAGTTCTGGGAGTGGGGGAGAATGATGAGAAAAAGTGCAGAGAGAAAGATGGGCAGATGAGACTTGGGGGAATGTCTGCATTAATGTGGCTAAGGAGAAAGACGGAGAGAGTGAAGGAGACAGAGCAAACAGAGCACAAGGGTAGTGGTAGAGGCTAAGAAAAGGTTTTTACAAGGAAAGGGAAGTGGTTAATAGCATCAAAACCTTCCAAACAACCTAGGGGTACCAGCCCTGAAGAATGGCCAAAAGTTTGACTTTCAAGGAGCTGGTGACCTTCAGAACTGTGTTTTGAATGGAAGGGTGTAGGAGCCACAGGATTGCTGGTTGAGGAGAGGGTGGGTGTGGAGGAAATGGAGGCTGTGGTCACAGACCACTCATTCTAAACGTTTGGCAGTAACAAAAGGAGAAAGGATCAGAGCTAGAAGGAGAAAGCAGCATCTAACTTCTTTTCTTTCAATCAGCATAGGGGGAAACCTGAGTGTGTTCAAAGGGTGTCATTTGAGAACATTCAGTGATTCAGTAAAGGTGCTTTTCCAAACTGGGTGTGTGTATATGTAGCTGTTAGTTGTTTAGTGATTTATTTTCTTTTTTATTGCCATTTTT